GCTTTGATTTTCCTAAAAAATAAACATTATTGAAATTTGGTAAGAAAAAAAATCCTCATACATTTGTGTTTCATAAACAAAGCAAAAATAGCTATTAAATAAAATAACAACAAATAGCTGCAGTTGACGAGTAGATAAAAGCTGTCTACAATGAAGAGATCTGGTGGGATGACATGGGAAGAGAGATAACTCCTGTCACTGTAAAGTCAGGTCTTTTACAGTAAGCTTCAAACAACTCCATCGATTTGGCAGTGAGGACATGACCAAGTATTATTATTATACTGTTGCCTTAAGCATCTAAACGACATTCTCATCATTTAAAACAATGATAGGTTTATTTCCTTGAAAATTAAATAATTTTAAGCTTTAAATGTTGAAATTGGTTGGTCTTATGAAATAAAAATTTCACATTATATATCAACTCTAATGAGTTATTACATGGATATAACTATGAAGCAGCTCTCTGTATCGTCTCCTAAAAGGCCCTGTACAAGAAGGACATATTTACCATGTGAAGAGTATAAACACTTTTAGCTAAGAATACATGTGACTTTTGGAATAATATTAATATTACTGAAAAAAGAATCCCATTCCTTATCGGACAAAACTACTATTACATTGATAGCTGTAGCACAACAACCCTCATAAACCCCTACAAAACAATCAATTAATTGATTGTGTGTCAATCACATCATTATTCTTAAAGGTCTGTCATCTCCCAGGGTTTAATGCCCCCTCTATGTTAGTGATTGTAGGCAATTACTTAGTCTGATGATCTTCTCTTGTTCATGTCAAAAGCATGACTTGACTTGCACATTATTCAACTGATGTTTTATTCAGATGTACATGCATATACATACAGTATGTCAAACTTAAACAATCTATAACAAGAACAGGCCTGAGATAATTTTAAAGACAAAGAAAAAAACTAGTTAATGATGTATCAATTTGATTTTTGAAGTATGGGGAGCACGGTCATTGTGTAAAGACGTGTATCACATTATATTACATATTTTCATTCAGGCTGATATGTTGTAATACAGGGCTGGTGTATAACTCTGATATGTTGTAATATAGGGCTGGTGTATAAATCTGATATGTTGTAATACAGGGCTGGTGTATAACTCTGATATGTTGTAATACAGAGCTGGTGTATAACTCTGATATGTTGTAATACAGGGCTGGTGTATAAATCTGATATGTTGTAATACAGGGCTGGTGTATAAATCTGATATGTTGTAATACAGGGCTGGTGTATAACTCTGATATGTTGTAATACAGAGCTGGTGTATAACTCTGATATGCTGTAATACAGAGCTGGTGTATAACTCTGATATGCTGTAATACAGGGCTGGTGTATAACACTGATATGCTGTAATACAGGGCTGATGTATAACTCTGATATGTTGTAATACAGGGCTGGTGTATAACTCTGATATGTTGTAATACAGGGCTGGTGTATACCTTTGATATGTTGTAATACAAGGTTGGTGTATACCTCTGATATGTTGTAATACAGAGCTGGTGCATAACTCTGATATGTTGCAATACAGGGCTGGTGTATAACTCTGATATGCTGTAATACAGAGCTGGTGCATAACTCTGATATGTTGTAATACAGGGCTGGTGTATAACTCTGATATGTTGTAATACAGGGCTGGTGTATAAATCTGATATGTTGTAATACAGGGCTGGTGTATAAATCTGATATGTTGTAATACAGGGCTGGTGTATAAATCTGATATGCTGTAATACAGGGCTGGTGTATAACTCTGATATGTTGTAATACAGGGCTGGTGTATAACTCTGATATGTTGTAATACAGGGCTGGTGTATAACTCTGATATGTTGTAATACAGGGCTGGTGTATAACTCTGATATGTTGTAATACAGGGCTGGTGTATAACTCTGATATGTTGTAATACAAGGGTTGGTGTATAACTCTGATATGTTGTAATACAGGGCTGGTGTATAACTCTGATATGTTGTAATACAGGGCTGGTGTATAACTCTGGTGTAATACAGGGCTGGTGTATGATATGTTGTAATACAGGGCTGGTGTATAACTCTGATATGTTGTAATACAGGGCTGGTGTATAACTCTGATATGTTGTAATACAGGACTGGTGTATAACTGTGATATGTTGTAATACAGAGCTGGTGTATAACTCTGATATGTTGTTATACAGGGCTGCTGAATAACCCTGTTATACAGCAATACAGGACTGGTTTCTAACTATGGTATGTTGTTATAAAACTCTCACATTCTACAAGATATAATTGTTCTTTATTAATCACAAATGGCATATTTCCATTGCCAGCCAGTCCAAGGTCACCTAGTCGACCATACAGACCAGCTTATCAGCAAAGCTTCATACCACATTTGCTTAATCAACATCGCAATATAGAATAAGTCTGTCAACAACAGCCACATATAGGGTATTTGAGATCAAGCACAGTACACACATACACTACAACATTGAGATTACTTTTCTGACCTAACTTGGCAGAGTTTTGCAATAAGTCTGTGACTACTTCTGTCCTGAGTCGTGTTACTGTGTTGCTAAGGAAGTGACAAGCTGCCAGGATAAGCTGTAACGATCACTCCTAAGCAGAATGAACCCTTACACAAACCTTAGACAAATATTAGTAAGGATAAATGTTGCGATTTTAAGTTCTCATTTCCGTTCAAACCTTGTATCACAGATGCACTCAATAGTCAAGGATGAATAGTCGAGGGGATATAAGATTTTATATATGAAAGATTTCAAGGAACCTATGATTAAACACTATATCCTTAGTCATCTTAACCCCATGAACCCCTTATTTTCTAGTTTGATGGATGTGTTTTGACATTTTCTCTCCAATACAGTGAGACTTCATTTGTCACTTGTTCAGAAATTCAACAGTATGTATGTCTAAGTTGAAACAAGAGCATCCAGTTCATGACCTCAAAATATTTCACTGAGATATATTTAGCCTGATCATCCAATCACATTAAAATCTGGCCTTTCACTCTAACATTGTACTCTCTGAAGATTTGACCACCCTTTGTCAGAAGGCACATTCAGGTGAGCCCTTACATGTATGTACAGTCAAAGCATATAAAAATGGGTGTTGCCTTGTTATTTTGCTTGTTGAAATGAACACATATACAGAGCCATCCCAGACTGTCATGTGCTATGAGGATCACATTCGTCAGCAATTTATGTACTGTGATGCAACGAACAGTTTGTTTGATAAAAATTAAAAACAACAACAAAATACAAATTACTTACAGGTAAATAAGAACTGAATAATGAATTCAACAGTACAAGTAATAATTCTATTCCTAAAGTACAACATTTCTACCTTCAACAGGCCCACCTATATTAATAATCTCTGCTTGCCCCATGCTGAGAGAATTAACTCACTTATAGGAAAACATTTCTGCCAAGACAGTTAATGTCAGTGCCAATCTATATGAAGCCAATAATACCCTGGGCTATGAGCTGGCCAGATCCGGTATTTATAAAAAGCCATTGGGTAGCTGCTGTGGTGGATCCATAAGACAACATTATTTTAATTCCTATGGCTAATTCACCTTCTCTGACGGACCTTAATGCAGTATTCAGTGGGCATGTTTATGACATGCCAGTATACAGTATCACAGAGACTTCACAAACCATTTCATGAGTGTCCATATTACTTGAACTATGTCCGATACAGTTTGGTTTAACGCTCATGGAACACATCAAAGAAAAGCAGCACAAAAATAACGAGTGCTCTACCACTTCAGTGAACCCCATAGGGGCATATGCTGGCAGACTATTTCAAGGATTATAACTGGAGTCAAATCCTCCGTCAAGTTGGCAGATCCTGACCAAACTAAGGGACACAATGCTTGATGTATCATGACAGTTTTTTGAGTAGCTTCTCTGAAAGAAAGTACAGTAAGTATTTCCAAACTGGCACCACAACTCCGACTCCTTGTAAATGTAGACAACAGCGGTTGAGTCTCTCAGGATTTTTTGTTGAATTTCTACTAAATATATCAGTGAGTGACTATGGTTTTACACCACTTTTAGCAATATTCCAGCAATATCACGGTGATGGACACGAGAAATGGGCTTCACACAATGTACCCACATTAGGAATCGAACCCTGGTCTTCAGTGTGACGAGTGAACATTTTAACCATTAAGGCTACCCCACCGCCCCACTAAATATGTGAACATGCAACAAATCTAACAGATCATATGCATTTAATCAAACATGGGAAAGGCAACAACTGCAACTCACACCACATGCCTGTTGATCACATTGCCAAGGACACTGTTCGTTGTTATTTAAACCATACCTATCATGTTGATAACATGCTTTGTCAAACATGGACAGTTTAATGGTTAATGACAACATTATCCTGTACAAAGCAACCACTACTTTGCTTAACACATACACTTATAAAACTGGTACCAAGTTATCAAGTACCCTTATTCCATCCACAGGAAAATGATAACATATGACATGTGGACAGAAGGTCTGAACAAACCCAAACATTCGCACGAACGCACCTGGATAGCTGTGCGTGAACCACGTACAGAATGTGCAATAGCCTGCGAGAGTGTACATTGTCACTGATCAAGGCAGAATTTTTATTTTTTTTCGATAGAGCAGCCCAATTGGTGACTGTCTCATATAGTGTCAAATCAGGGCATAATTGTAAGAAGTCAAATAAGGAATTCAATTGGACCATATGGTGGTTTCGGTGGTCACATAAGGACCGTGTCGTGTTATGTCAAATTAGGACATATTGCTGTATATAGTGCAGTTGAAATATTTCGTTGGTTCATGTTTCTGTAAGTAAAACTATAATGAACTTTGAAAGTTGTTGAGTTATTTTTAAGTCTTCCACTGCTGCATAACAACATGGTCATAATAATCAATCCTCATCCTATGCATTGAACAAGGGCCTCTTCACAAACACAATTCTACACTTCAGAAAACTAAATAAGTACTCACCAACAGACCAAGGTTCCAACTCAGCCTTGCCATATTTGAGAACCTTGAAGCCTTCAAACCCCGCACAAACGTATGCCTCTCCATCCTGTAAGTCTTTTATCTCAAAGACGCGGTGGACCTTGATTGGGGGTGAAGATCTGTCTAACACCATAGGGAAGGCTGACACTATTGGGCAGCTTCCCTGTCAGATCATTCAGCAGATCATTGAAATTGAGGTAGCGATGTGGAGTTATGTACATTCTCTTCCCCTTGAAATAACGATCACCGTTCACAAAGAAGCGGACTCTTCGGGGTCTTCTGAGGTCGTGGTACTGCTCGTCTGTGATGTCTCTGTGTTCCTGTGACATTGGTGCATTGTGCATCCGCCGCGACAAGTCTGGCAGAGCCATCTGGACTGGGCTTGACATGGGTACTGGTGTCGATGGGGCAGTTCACAGTGAACAAAAGCCAGGGTCAAAGTCAATGATGTCCATTCTTCTACTTCCAAATGTCCACATTCTTTAACCTAAACATGAAATAATTGTTCGGTTATCACTACATAATACATAATCAGCACTTTTTTCCTCCACCCAATTACCCCCAAAACTTAAATCAACTACATTGAAAGAACTATCGTCAACACGTAAAGAAAACATGTACACTATCATGAAAGGGAGAAAGACATAGATCTTAGAAAGACAGAATTTTGCAAACATTGTTAACTGTATTATAGTTAATAATTTCATTGAATTCTTGATTCTGTCATCATTATTATTCCATGGAAAAGGAACAAACTTCACATTTATAACATTTGTTATATTTGGGATTACACTTTCTCAGTAAAGTTCCCATCCTAGTACTTATGTTAGGTTGAGTCCCATCCGGGATTCGAACCCACATTCCCAAATGTCAGGCAACCATCGTCAGCCCTCTAACCCACTCAGCCACTGTTGCTTCCATAAGTAGACTTTGTGTTCTGGTGAAAAATTGCGTGACTCTGAGAGTGTGGGTTCGAATCCAACATGGGACTCAACTCAACAAAAGCACTAGAATCTGTACTTCACTGAAAAAAGTGTACTCCTAAACATAACATATGTTACATTTGACCACTTTGTAAATGGCATTGAATATTCATTCTTTCACATTGTTCAACAAACATTGACCCAGGAAATTACAGGATCCCATCGTGTCACCACTGAAGAAGTTAATCACTATCACATGACCTTGAGTGTTATTGGTAAAACCGTTCTGATAACAACACAATCATCAATAACTGACATGTCAGTGTTTGCTTGAGGTTCTGAAGCACAAAAACATTGCACATGCAACAATTTACTCATGATTTGTTAAAATTGCAAAATCAGTCAAAGCTGAATCCAAGCAATTATTCAGAACTGATGATCTGTACTCTTGTCCAAGATTACTCATTAATAAGCATGATTTATGTAGGAAAGTACAACAAGTTAAGCTGTTGGTCGTCAGTTGAGCTAGCACAATTCAGATATAAGCCGATTAACACAGAAACATGGCAAAACTAACAAGGTAAAAGTCTGTCCAAGGTCTCGACAGCCTTGGGTGTATGTATACAGAAAATGGTCAAATGTATGTTATATTTGGGATAACACTTTGTCATTAACTACAGATTCTTGCACTTTCTTGGGTTGAGTCCCATTCAAGATTCAAACTCACACACTTTTTGTCAGGCACCAAATCGCCAGCACACAAAGTCAACAATCTAACCCAATGGTCTAGCAGTCAACAGAATTCTACTTTTGTGAAGGCAAGTTACAATACAAGAAGTGGACATGAAAACCCTCTACTGCCTATAGGCCTGTTTGGTTGTATACTCACAAGAAACTCGAGAGCGATATCTACAATGCATACAAATCCATGTGTCAGGGAACTGACTAAACACACTGTGCAGCAAGACATGGCCGGAACCTTTGGACATGAAGAAACATCAACAGATGCTGCCTGCACGTCATGATTTGGCGTATTCAGGTCTTGTGGCAAAGAAACATTACATACATGCACAGGTACATTCATCCCACAATCCCCTTGGCAAACATTGCCATAATGTTTGGTTGCCTGTCCCATAACTGCAAACAGGGTACGTATGCAGTGGAATCTGATGAGCAACATGTACATTCATCAAGTCCTGGATCCACTAATGGGAACACATTTTGATAACCTAACCATCTTCTGACTGTCAGACTCATCTACAGAGACATATATAATATTATTTCAGCAGAACACTCTGTTGGCCAGCCATGAGCACAGATCTGAGCTTGATCACATCAGAGACCATATACCGATGTATGGTCTCTGATCACATATATCCTGGGAAGAAGATTCAGAAGCAGAATTCACCATTAGCCAAACTAGAGAAACTTTCACAGCCATTACACCCAGTGTTCACGAATAGCGTCTGACCCTCTGACAAATCCGGCAGATCCGCCAACGGTCCGATAGAAGTCTAGAACCCGCCGGCCCCAGTATCAGACTGTATATTTCAGAATGACTTTCACTGAACTTGTTATATGTGAGAAGTGACAATTGTTTGCCCTTTATAAATCTTATTACGTTTGTTAACAATTTCAATGCCAGTTATAAGAAATGTTGAATATGAAATGTGTGTTTTAATTTTATTCTATGGGTCCTGTTAATTTTGAATAGGTCAGACAGACATCTGAAACACAGGACCCAATGTCCTGTTACTTTGAAACACCATTCGTGAACACTGTACACCAAGCATGGAAAACAACTACCGCCAAATTGTCTTGTCATTTTGGTATGTGGATGGCTATAACGCTACTGACAATCTCACAAAAAGAAATTAGCTAGACAGCATAACTATCAATTTGGCAAAACCTTAAAAGCCATAACTCTCTAGGGCACCTTACAGTGCCAAACATACCAACAATGGTACCTAGAATAAAATGTCCAACAACATTATGAATAACACTCTCAAATATTCATGATTCTTGACTCATTAACAGACAATTAACCTGTCAGGCAATAGCACATGTTCCTATTCTTGTGCCATCGATTTAGAGCCAGAGCACAGTTTCTGAAACTTTCAGATAACAAGGGGCACTTTCTTGGTGCATACCTTATCTGTATTAAAACATGCATATGATCCTATTTTTCTAAACCAGTAACAGCTGACATTTGTATAGAATCTACAATGATGTTAAATGACATTGCTATAAATAGATAAAAGTAAATGTAATAAATAAAAGACATTTCATCAAAATAAAAAGAAGTGCTGTGCTTACTATTGAAAAGGCAGTTACTTCAATACCAAAAATCAATTATCAATGTTTCTATCAAATAAAAAAATAACAACACAAGTACAAACCCGAGTAGAGCCAGAATCTCAAACGAAGTCTGTCATGTTGGCTGTACTGTCTTCCTAAAGACTGCTTAACATGCCACCAACCAAAACCTCAATAGCCATGGCCATTTACTGTACCCATCTTCCATAATGAAATCAGCCTTTCACACAAGAAAAACATCTTTGCAATCATTCCCTTGTTTAGTAAATATACTTCAACAGAAAGATTTGTTCAGTGGAGCCCATATTGCTAACAAGAACCGATGCTCAGATCTCAGTTTTAATGTAGCTGTGGTAATTTGCTAAAAGTTGACATTCAGGCAAGGGCAATATCCATGACAACATTTTCCCATTACCGAGTTTTGAAATGACTCAGCCACATCATATTAACAAACACTTTCATAAAACTATCACCATCAATGCAAGGAAATCCATTTAGCAATCAATATTGTACAAAAGGTGTGAAATTGTCTCACTTCAACTTGTAAACAGTTGTCAACAATACGACAATAAAACTACCACTTAAAAAAACAAGAATCATCAGAGAAGATGACATATCCCCCCGGCCCTCACATATTTGAAAGAACAAATCATCTGACAGTTACTTAAAGTTCAGCTTGACATTTTTTTTAAACTAAGTCCAATCGTTTCCATGGAAATCATGAGGAATATAAATGCGAAAAATCTGCAAATAGCAAAAGGCACCATTTCAAAATTTGCCAAATATATCTGCCAAGTTCTGTTGAAAAGATACTGAACGCTTTTCGAGTTGTGCACTGGAAATGAAGCCCACCCCTCCCTTTTAGGACTAGTCCTAATCATTTCCATGGAAACCGAGAAAATAATAAATCACAAAAATCTGCAAATAACAAAAGGCACCACTTTGGCATCTGCCTCACATATCTGCCAAGTTTGGCTGAAAGATATTAAGCAGTTTTCGAGTTGTGCTCTGGAAACAAAACCCACCACCCCACCCCCACCCTCCCTTTTGGGACTAAGTCGAGTTTCCATGGAAACGGGGAAAATAAATATGCCAAAATCTGCAAATAGCAAAAGGCACCACTTTGGCATCTGCCTCACATATCTGCCAAGTTTGCCTGAAAGATATTAAGCAAAACGGAAACAAAACCCACCCCTCCCTTTTGGGACTAAGTCGAATCGTTTCCATTGAAACCGGAAAAAATAAAAATACCAAAAATCTGCAAATAGCAAAGGCACCACTTAAGGTTCTTTTTGATATATCTACCAAGTTCTGTTGAAAAATATTGAACGGTTCTTGAGTTATGCTCCGGAAACGAAGCCCACCCCTCCCTTTTGGGACTAAGTCTGAATCGTTTCCATGGAAACCGGTAAAAATACAAATGCCAAAAATCTGCAAATAGCAAAAGGCACCACTTAAGGATCTGTTTGATATATCTACCAATTTTTGTTGAAAAATATTGAACGGTTTTGGAGTTATGCTCTGGAAATAAAATGATTACGGACGGACGAGGCGTCGACTATATCCCCCTGGCATGTAAAAACAGTGACCTAATAGTCAAAGTGAACTGATATCAATAGATTTCTCACAACTGCAGTGGGGACACATTACATATCTATGAGGAATCAGCCAGCGCATATTGCAAGGCAGAACAAGTCCCCACATTCCCTTGGTTGTTGTAAAGTTGCCTAAGAACCAGATGGTTACAATCCAGGAAAACACCTTCATCTGTATTTTTTCAAAATTTATTATCGGGGATTCTCCCTTATACCTTTCTAGAGTGACCTCTTTATGAACAGACAACCAAATGTGTCATGCCTTATGCCTATTATGGACAAAGATTTCCTTGTTGCAATTAAAACTTAGTGATTGAACAAAGAGGACCTGTAATGAACTGTTCAGACACTGTATTTGTTTTCAGAACAGAAATATCAATAATTCTTAATAATAGCTGAATTACAATAA